AGTCTGTGAACTCCATCAAGCAGACAAAGACAACAATGGAACACAAGGTGGATTTCTTGATGAAGCGCTACACATCAGTATGCCCAGACGTTCGCTCGCGAGTCAACGCCGCCACCAGCGAATTGTTTGACGTGACTAGTGATATGTACAAGTTCACAAGCCTACACGTCATTGACAACACAGGACAAGCAATCGCTACAGGACCGGGACCAGGACTTCCAGCCCCATTTAGAGCCGCCGCCACATACTTCCAAATTGAGCTCCGATTGGTCCCATGGCTCTGTTCCCTGCAAACTGACATTGGAATCGACCAAACAAAGTTCCCACCATCTTCCAATAGAGCTGTATACGTTCCAGTGCCAAGAGTCCAGAACCAGATGGACGTATCCATCACTCGTCAAATGGTAATGGACCAAGCACATCACAAGGAAATCATTGCAGCAATGGTGTTAGAATAAAGCAAAATGTGCTCTATCGTGAGTGCTTTTAGCGCTCAGAACAAACTCTCTGCAATCTAAATTCGTAATCAACTGTACAACACTTTCACGACAATAGTGTTAGAATAAAGCAAAATGTGCTCTTTCATGAGTGCCTTTAGCGCTCAGAGCAAACTCTCTGCAATCTAAATTCCTGATCGACTGTACAACACTTTCACGACAATAGTTCTCCTGTGTCTAGGTATACTTTGAGTGAAATTGTTCCTATTTGATTAGTGTTTGGCTTGAATAGATGATTCAATCACAAAAGTGAGTTCAACGATTTTCCCTTGGAAAATCCCTTGTTTACCGAACTCAATTCGACTTCTACGACAATTCTGTGTTGAATGCAGTACTTTGGGACATCTTGCATTATTCCCTACTGCATCGTACACAACATCAATATTCCACTTGTATAGGATCTTTTCCTGTTTGTGTGGATACAGATTGTCCAACAGACTTGCGTCCGGCATACTTGCGTCGAATCCCAACATCACGCATGATCAAAGTCCGATCGCACGTGTCGAAAACCTCGTACTTGAATAGTTTCTTTTGGAACGTAAAAACTCATATTTCGTCATATCCCAACACACTCCTGCCATTGTGACAATCCCCATTGGCAGCAATGGGACATGCTCTCATTCACTGTTTATTTTTGTTATGTATTTTCATTTGAACATATACATACTTGTCTGACCTATTCCTGGGGACCAAGAATCAGATCCCTGAACTTGCTAAACTTCTCACCTTGCAATGGCTTAGTCATAATCCGCGATCATATTGTCAGTTGGACAGTATTCAATCTTAACATTTCCTTTCTCAACTTGATCTGTGATAAAGAAATAACGAATATTTGTTAGAACAAAGCAAAATGTGCTCTATCGTGAGTTCTTTTAGCGCTCAGAACAAACTCTCTGCAATCTAAATTCGTAATCGATTGTACAACACTTTCACGACAATAGTTCTCCTGTGTCTAGGTATACTTTGAGTAACATCATCGCTGATAGGGCCTTCTTTCGCTCAGACGCGGTCATGTCTTTCACAAATTTGGGAGTAAAACAATCTCTCAGGAGCATTTGTCTCAATTCCTTATCCACAGCATCCTTTCCATTGTCACCAAACTTCTTCAGTCCTTGATTGATGTAATACTGTTGAATGAAGTTCAGACCTTCATCAGTATCAAACTTTGCCTTGATCTGCATCATGCAACGAGCGATTAGAATAGCGTCGTGCTCTTCA